ATATTACTCAAAGTCATGTATGAATAAAGCGATTACAAAATAATTTCCTTTAGAACAAAACAAATCAAAAATGAATTTTTTAAATTAATTCCATTAAAAGAATGCCACTTATGCATAATCAAAAACTGACTTTTAGGAAAAAATATAGATGATAGTTGAAGCTTCAGAAATTTTTTTAGAAGTTTATTTTGTAAAACATTCACAGATATTGTGATCTTTATTTACGTATACTTGCACCAGTAAAAGCATAAAAGTTAAAGAATATCAAATTCAGGACAGCAATTTAAAACCCATTTGACAGTACATTCGTTTGTCTTTTTGTTCATTGAAACACAGCTCGAGTGCTTTAGAGGACATATCCAATATGTCACATTAATACCCTCTAATGCACGTTTCTGATTTATTTCGGTTACAACCGGTGGCCACTCACAGCATGATTGTAGCTTAATCGAACGATATAAGGAAATGGACGAAGTGTGTTTCATTCCAAAATCAGAAAAAATTCGAGCCGTTTAACATCATGATAACTGTAATCTGAAACACCAGCATATATCCTGGACTGCTAAAGAAAGGATAATCTCCTTTAGTAAAGAGAGGAAAAAGCATTGTCTCTGTTTCAGACTGGAATAAAATAAAAGGAAAATTGTTACTTGGAAACTTGCATTATGCTTTTCTTCGTCAATCAAGGCAATAGAAAAGGTTGAAATTCAATTTCCACGAAGACCACCCTTAAGTCCAATACAGTTTGTCATGTTCAAACTTATTCCACTGAGCCTTTCTCTCTTAGATTAAGGCAACAAATAAAGTTTGAAATTCAGCTTCCACGAAGAACACTCTTAAGAACCAATATAGTTCGGACTCTGAAAAAGGAGGGCGGGGAGTGTCATATGGACATTGAGCATTTCTTAGATCAAGGCAGCAAGAAAAGTTGAAATTAAGCTTCCATAAGGACCATCAAGAAGCCCAGTACTTTTCATTTATTGTCGAAAAAGAAAATACCCTTTTCCTTAAAAAAAAAAAAAAAAAAAAAAAAAAAAAAAAAAAAAAAAAAAAAAAAAAGGAAGAATTTTATAGATGGTGGCAAGTAGGAATATGTGGATTCAAAAATGGTTCCAGTATTAGTAATTCTTGCGAAAAAAGATGATCTGGAACGAAGACACTTTACTGCACTGATTTATTCTCATTTTTTTGCACCACTTAATTTCAGGTTTTTCCTTAAAAGCATGGCATGGTACCTAAGCCTGTGCTATCTCTAACACGTAGGTCTCTCTTTAGAGATGCTAATATCCAAGTGCAAAAGCAGTTTACGTTCATTGGATCGAGGTTGCACAGACTGACACTTGCATACGATCATCTGATTAAAAAAAAATTATATAGTGATAATGAGTGAAATGATAAATTCTCATTTATCATTTGCACAAAGTTGCCTAAGACATTGATCAACACTTGCACATAATTGATACTTTCACAGTTAGAGCAGTGCTCCGCAACCGGTGTGCCGCGGCACACTGGTGTGCCGCATGAGTAGGATATCGGTGTGCCGCAATCAAATACATGTATTTGACATTTTGCAATTTTTTATCATGTATTTAATACACAATGACAATTTTTTTCCTTAATAATGTCTATTTTAAATGTTTTTATATATTTCACTGTTGTGTGGTTGTGTGTGTGATTGTAAGTGTGTCAGCATTTGAATTTTTCCGGCACTTCCTTGATAACTCGGAACTCTTTGGTGTGCCACGAAATTCCAGAAAGATTTTTTGTGCGTCGCAGGCGAGAAGAGGTTGCGGAGCACTGGTGTAGAAGCTTACGAGTCTAGAGGCACAGTGTATATGAAGGCTTATTATTAGTAATGGTTCATAATGAAGAATTAAGAATTTGATTAATTAACATTTTTGGGGTACCTGCTCAAAATTGCTAAATGGGTTTCTTAGCTTGACTTGATTCTGTGCCCATTGAGGCTGTCGATCCTACTTAATATCGATCATGCACCGCATTTCTGAAAAAGCTAAGTCAATGATGATGAACCTTTTGAGCTCGGATGTCAAAATTCGGAAAAACCCTAGCTAACTCTGGTGCCATGTCATATATAGCCGTCTGCCAAGTATGCACTCGAACGCATTTGAGGTAAGCTCAACACATGCTCACAATGACAAAACCGTTACAAGAGACAAATATTTTTGTATTATGCAATTTTTGCATCCATCGATGGCTCTGGAAATGCGTCAGCCAAAATGGCTTCGCGTGTGCCTTATGACAGGGATGTCATAGGTTCGACATCACACGGCGGTTTGTTTCGGAAGGACAACTGTTTCGGACAACTTTTCTGCCTGGTTTACTACTGAGCAAAAGACGCGCGATTTTTTGCTTCCGTTCGAAAAAAGTTGCAGGTTGTTCGTTTTCAACCAATCAGCTATCAGCTTCGAATCCCTCATCATCATCATCAACCAAAACAACATTCAAGATGGCGGACTGCAGTGGTAGCAAGTGGTGTACAGAAATCGAAGCTGAACTTATTGAAGAAGTGAGGCAAAGGCGATGTTTATGGGATATTACAGATCCCAGTTACACCAAAAAACTTCTGAAGCGGAATGCATATATCACAATCGCCCCAGCATCTCGCAGAAAAATGGCCTGAATATGGACATACGTTTCCGCCTGGTAAGTGTATTATTGCATTTTGGGCTGTTAATTAAATATAAACATTTACTATGTATATATAAATATATCATTTGATGTTTTTCATGTTACGTAAGCATAATTATGTAAAGAAAAGTATGTATTTTACATTCGCGATATCTGGGCAAACACTTGTAAAACACAGGCGGCTTTGTCGCCAAAACGAACGCCAAATTTTCGCAGAATTATGTTTGTAAACATTATCGTGGTTCATGGTATTCACCGCGTTAACTTACCAGGTGAATTTAAAAATTTACTTATTGGAATAGCGTGTGACGCAGTTACTTCCATACCCTTAATATCTGTTTTGGTATTTCTACACTCGTATGAAAATGATTTATTTATGCATATGAGTATAATCTATATTGCAAAGGAGCATATTTTACTAAATTGCAATGGATCACCCGAAAAGATGTAGCTAAGAATAAAAACCTTTAAATTTCCCAATATAATTGTACCAGTTAAAACTTAGAAATCTGATTTTTATTTCAGAAACAGATTTTCTGGTAAAATTATTATTTAAAAAGTAAATAAGGAAAGTTAAATTTAAGCAGAGCTGACTAAAAGCTTCAATTGATCAATATCTGAATAATATTTTAGACTATAAAAAGAAATGTATACTGCTTTTTGAGATTTCTAATAAAAAAAAAAAGATAGATAATAAATAAATAAATACACACCTATGTGTCCTTTGAAAAATATTCAGTTAAATTTAAAAATATGTTTAAATCTAATAGAAGGCCCTGTCAGGGATATAAATTTTTGAAAAGAAACAATCTTATACTGCAGTGTTTACTGAAATTTAGAGTGGCTGAGAATATTAATATATAGACATTTTTAATTTATGCATTTCTTTATATAAGCATATTTAAAATATGTTTACAAATCTAATATTTACATATATTTGTGCATTATGTAATATACGTACACTGGTGAAATAAATTAGAGAAATTTTCATATTTGATCTATGATCTCCAGAACTAGTGGACAGCCTGTTTTTCTGCTGACTCGGCCTACACACATGTGTATGCTTATGTATTTGCTCTACAACACTTGCATTTTTATCCAGAAGAAGTGGTTATTCCTTCAGTTCAGTTCTTTTCATACAATTTGATAAAATATACAAATTCTCTTAATTTATTTCACCAGTGTACATTACATGTATTTCATTATTTGTAAATTTGGCGCATACAACTTCATTTGTGAAATAAGGTATACTCATTTATATATACATGCATGAATTTTATATATATATATATTTCCTTTTATGAAAGTAGAATATTCCTGTGAAATGTTTTATAATTTGTTATGGCATCAGCTTTGAATTTTTTTAAACTAAGTATGGATAGTAATTCATATCTTCCATAAATCTATGGCAGTGAATCGGAAGATCAATTTATGTTCATACAAATAAGATTAAAAATATAATCAGGGGTAAAAAAGCAAACGAAGAAACCCTGAAAGCTTTCAGATTTTATATTACATTCAAAGGGGTGTTTTGGATAAAAAATTTCTCTAAAGTTTGACAAAATATGAAATAAATTACAACAAAATTCAGGCTTCCAGGGGGAATGGAGGGCTACATTATTCAAAATTTGATGGCTCTAGCTATCATTGTTTTTTCAGAATGCAAGAAATGTATACATTCATTCATACAGATTCTTCATTATTACTTTTCTTAAATATAAAATAGGGTGATAATATTTGGTGACGACAGTTTTAAAAGTGATTTTGCATTTTTAGTGATATGATGCAAAATACCGTTTTGAGATTAATAGCCGTTCTGGGCTAATGCACCTTTGGGCAAATGATTTGTCAGAAATTACAAGAAAATGGCAGCTGTGTTAAACATCTATATGCAGGTATACAAGTGTAATATGCATATATACAATTAAATGCATATAAAATTATATCTACATATGTTACATATAAATACATATGTACGTATGTGATAAGGTGTCCTCATTTCTAGATTGCATGTATGAATAAATGCATACTTACATAGACATGTGTATTTCTATAAAACATGTATATATGTCATTTTATATTGATGCAATTATATATATATATATATATATATATGCATATTATATTTACATACCAGCAGATGCACAGCTGCAGTTTCTGTCAAATTATTTTTTATCATGTTTTTATTTTATTTACCACTAATTCTTAATTTATATTGCCACAGATTATAAACTACAAAATTTAGAATACATAATTAATAATAAAATTGTTACAGAGACTGTGATGACAAAATTTCAGAACCTCAGGACATATTTTAGGAAGGAAAGAAAAAAGGCGAAGCTGTTTAAAAGTGGAACAGGATCCACTGGATTTGTTCCAAAGTGGGAACATTATGTACGGCTTCAATTTTTTAGATGACTCTTTTGCTGCTATGGCCAGTTGTAGCAATATGGATAATTCATCTGAGTGTATTGTAATGGTAATTTTTAAATCTATACATTTTTTATATTAAAAATACTATCCATTAAATTAGCAAATTTATATGTGTGCTGTAATTTAAAAATCATACAATGTTTCTTTCTCTGTGTTTACGGCTCATGTGAAATTTAAAATTTTGTATCATTTGCCACTCTGGATTCATATCTTGGCAATCAGGGTGGTTCATGTTTGTTTTGCCCAAGTGTTCCAGTTTCTCTTTCGGAAATCTACCATGAAGCCACCTCTGAGATGTACAGTCCTTGCAGAATCTACCATATTCAATAAAACAAATTTAAAAAAACATAAAAGTAATGAAATGAAATTTGAAAGGTTTCAGTGTTTTAATTACGCCTAAAGGCATGTTTTTTACAATTTCGTGTGTTACCTTTATTTATTAAATATCATGTTCTTCACACTTAAACCATAAATTTCAGTTCAAGAGCAATATCGCAAAATAATTTTAAAATGACCATATTTTTAGAATTTCTGATACACAGTCTCACATGCTGGAGATTAAAATGTTTTTCCTGCACAATGTTGCCATTGCCATTTGAAATTCCTGAGTTTGTTAATCATAAATTCAATAAAAGTTTTATAAAATTAAATCGATAATAGGACAAATTTCAAATTTAGACTTCCAGATGCCCATATTCATAGGAGGATTACGTTATTGAAAATTTGATGGCCTTAGGTACCATTGTTTTATCACACTGTGAGAAACATATATTTATGCAGATTCTTCATTATTTAATTTCTTTAAATATTATACAGGGCAGTAATATTTGGTGGCAACCATTTGAAAAGTGAAACAAAGCTTATATTGAATCAACACAAAATGCGAAAATGAAAATAGTAATCATTCTGGGCAAATTGATTTTGGATTGATATAAACATGGTTTGAATTTATTTTACTCTGGTATCCTTCAGATCCTTTGCCATAAGAACCTATTAACCTACCTCGAATTTACATAGTCATCTATTTTAATTTAACTATTTTACTATTCCCATAATTTTAAGTCTAAGCACTTTATTCCTTTTATTAAATAACTTTATTCGTAATGTTAGTTGAATCGGATTTATTGTTCATTAATTAACACGTTGACTGCCAACTACGAGATAACTCGTAGATTGCGTTCTTTTCTAGGACGGCAACTACGAATTATCTCGCACTGTGTTTACTTGCCATTTTTGTGCAGCTACGATTAAACTCAGAATATATCAGTGCTAATATTGATAGATTGCTTCTGGGAAAAGAACAAAAAAATCAATGCTAGCTTGCATAAACAGAAAATTTATTAAAAATGAACAAAAAATATAATTATAAAAATTAATAACATATGATTAAATTGATTTGGCTTCTCGGACCGGAATCCGAAAAGTGCCATGGCCATCAACGTGTTAATAGAGTTGATAAAAATTCATTTTTTAAATATTCTTTTTCTTTCAGAATTTTGTTCAAGATACTGAAATGTTTTCAGAAGAAAGTGTTCTTCCTCCTACAAGCACAGAAGAAACATGCAATCTATTAGAAACCCCCAAAATGTCTGGAAGTCAATTGGTTGCTCCAGGCACAAGCAAAAAAAGAAAAAAACCTGAAGATGAATTTTTTACTACAATGACAAAATGTCTAAAAAACATAACAGAAGAGAAAGATGTGAACGACTTGTTTGGAGCGTATGTTGCTGGTCAGCTGAAGACAGTAAAGTGTCCTGCTGATCAGGAACTGTTACGGATGAAAATTCAAAATTTGATTTATGAATTCAAATATCCACAATAAAATTCTGTTAAACGTGAATATACTTGTTTATTTATTTCTAATATTTTCTCTTTTTAATTATAAATTTGCAGTAATTTCATGGCAGTCATTAATAGATGAACTATAATAAAGTGATTCACTGTTTTTATGTGTGTTTGTATATATGATTAAGAATATACTAGAGGCTTTAATAAATTATTAATAATTAGGAACTACTTGAGATATATATGAGTTTTTATTGGAACATGCAGAATAATTTCAAACATGCCTTAGTGTAAGTCACACATGGCTTCTTGCCAGGGAATGGATCCAATACCATTAAAATAATTGCAAAATCTATCTCTGACATCTTTTGCCTCCTGCGAACCATTGCGTGCACTTCGCTGCAATGAAATAAATTTAGAAGTACTTTCATTCCATGTTCCTTTTCTTATACAATTATTTTCGAAATCCTCAGCATCTAAACTATGTTCAGGAGTGTATAAATTTGTTGTTTCTTTTTTGCTGCGCAACAGGTTGTGCAGACAGCAAGCTGCCAAAACAAAGTATTGAGCCTTTTGTGGCGATGTCAATATTGTTGTTCCGAAAAGTCGAAATCTGGCAGCTAGAATGCCAAATGCATTTTTTCTACAATTCTTCTTGCTCGTGACAGTCTGTAATTAAAAATTCTTTTTTCTTTTGTGAGATGCCTTCCAGGATATGGCTTCATAATGTATTGGGTTAGTGGAAAAGCATCATCTGCCACTATGACATATGGAACATTAACATCTGTTCCTGGCAAAGTGTTTGGTGCTGGCAAAAATAATTCATCCCTTTCAACCAGTGATTTTAATTTACTTTTGTCCCAAACACCTCCATCACTAATTCTTCCATTCGTTCCTACATCAACATATATGAATTTTAAGTTAGCATCAACCAGTGCAAGTAAGACAATACTAAAATCACCCTTATAGTTATAGTACGTTGAACCAGAACCAGGTGGTGGTTTAATTTTAATGTGCTTGCCATCTAGGGCACCAAAACACATTGGAAAATTCCACTTAAAAAATTCCACTTATAAAAATCTGTAGCGATTTCTTCCCAATGCTTGTTTGACGTAGGCGTGTCCATGTATTCAGCTTTCAAGACATCATACAGCGCTTTACACACAGCTGGCAAGATACCCGAGATAGTATTTTGAGCAATTCTAAACTGATATGCCAATGAGCTCCGAGTTTCTCCTGAAAAATAACAACAGAATTAACTGCATGTTATCTCTTCTTTCATTTTAAATAAGAATCAGCTCATATTTTTAATAATTTAATATGTCGGACACTTACCTGTGGCTAGAAATCGAAGAGTTAGTGATAACCTTTCTCCAGCTGGTATAGATAATCTCATTTGTGTATCTTGTTTAGATATTATTGGCGAAACCAGGCTTAAAATTTCCTCAAATGTTGCAGTATCCATCCGCAGCCATCTTCGATAGCCTTCAGTGTCCTAAAAATTTAATAATTAACATTATTAAACTTCTAAGCAATGGTTAAGTTAATTTCAGTTCATGCCTACCTTTAAAAGTCTGTATTTATGACCAAAACATCAAAAGCACAAACAATGAATATGTATTTAATGCTTATATATATACAATCATTTAAGTAGATGTAAATTTCCTTGACATAAAACATGCCAAAATATACTAAAATATAAGAAAGTTTGAATTTGAAGCAAATATCTTTAAAATGCAAAACTGATAAATATATTATATACATCATAAAAATCTAAAGAAATTCCTGAAATTTATCATATGCAGTTGTATTATAACTGCAACAGATTAAAAATTGGAATAATTGTTAGGTAACTTAGTTGAATTTATAACGAAGTTATAGCTGAGATAGGATGAATGTAAAATTTCAAAGAATATGGCACTTTTTGCTAGGCTAACAGTATTATATAAAATTAATTACATGAGTGCAGCCTAGATATGGTGGAATTAATAAAGTGCCAGAGATTACTAAAGGTACTCTATATAAAAGGCTTTTGTATAAACATAATATTTATATTACTTGAAGCATGGGAAAAATATATAAGTTGAAATGTATTTTTAACAGTAAATTCTGTGTTGGAAGTAAAACAGGTACTCTTCTGTTATCGGAACTGGATTCAGGAAATGTATGTATATATGCTTGTGTGTATGAATATATGCATTCATTGCCTGCATATAAGTATGTATGTGTGTGTATACATATACATAAATATGCACATACAAAATCTATACACTTATATTTTAGTATATTTTGGCATAATCATATAAGTATGTATGTGTTTGTATACATATACATAAATATGCACATACAAAATCTATACACGTGTGCATGCATACATACATTCTGAATCCAGTCCCATTAACAGAAGAGTACTGAATATTTGAACAATTAGTTATTTACCCGAGAATCAAATGTAATCAGATAAAAAAATAATTAACATGATTTAATGAGGAATACCAAATTGCTTTAACACTTTCTTTAGTGTGTCGGAACATTTTCAAGAAGAGGCAGGCAAATCATCACAATTAATTTTAAAAAGGCAATAAATAAAATAATGAAGTATTTAGTATAGCTAATTGGAACAGAAAAGCGACACCATATATTACTTACTAATAGTTAAAATCAGCAAACTAAATAAGAATGCAAGTACTCAAGCAGCATAAAATTTTAAAGAATATTTTGAACAGTCAACATTTGAAAAATAAATTTACTCTTCTGTTATTAGGACCAGATTCAGAAATGTATGGATGTATGTGTTCATGTACTCCATATGTATATGTGTGTACACATGTATGTGTATACATTTCCGAATCAGATCCCGATAACAGAAGACTACCATAAAACATTCCCTATACGTATGTACATATGTATGTGTATACATTTCTGAATCAGATCCCGATAACAGAAGACTACCATAAAACATTCCTTAAATTTATGCTTTTAATATATACACATATACTTTGTTATGTAGTTAAATACATATTACAGTGCACATACATACAAATGCTAATACAACTACATAAAAATGAAAGTGAATGAAAATAAAATATTAAAAATTAAAGCATTTAGAAAAAAAATCTTGAAATATCTATCTACAATCATTTGCAATGAAATTCTGTTCTAAAAATTATATGGAAAGTCTTAAGTACGTTTCATGAGTTATAAACTATCCACATTTTATTTGTAAAACCTTGGATGCATATGTGCACATATTTAAACTTAAAAAAGAAATAACTCTTACCTCTAATGCCAGTTCACGCATTAAATTTTCATAGCAGCCCAGCGTTTTACGTCTCAACAGCCATTGTCTTGCCCATGTTTTTCTTTTAGCCTTTCTTTTTTTCTTGATGAGGAAAGCAGCTGCAAATATAGACGCTCCTAAAATGAAACGTTCTTTTGAATTCGACATAGCGTTTGATGGCCGTGTTTACTTCGCTCCCAGAATTGCTTCTATCTGTGTATTGTCACAGAATCACAAGCAGACGATTTAATTAATGTGTCGCCAACTACGCTAAAAATAACTAATTTTGGTAACCTTCGTGTTTGTAGTAGAGAACCAGTTTTCCCTTTACATGTTAACCCCAAAGTGATCTACGGTGATTGGCTGTTGTATATCACGTGACAAAGCAGAAAAATTGTTCCAAACAGTTGTCCTTCCGAAACAAACCGCCGTGTGATAGCCGCCTAAGAGAACCAATATGACACCGCCATATCATTAAGACAAGAATAGTTGGACGATTGAAGAAAGATGGTTTTAGCAAGTGTTAAAAACACTCAATACATGAACATAAGAAATGCATTCGATGATTGATGGTCGTTGCTGAAAAGCGTTAACTTTCGAGAACTTAAATATAATAAATTTTTTAAAAAATCTGAGCTTTCAGATTTCATATTATGCCCAAAGGACCCCTTTTTTTTTAACGTTTTCTGTGTTACCTTTATTTATTAAATACCATGTTCTTCGCACTTAAACCATTAAATTCAATTCAACAGCAATATCGCAAAATAATTTAAGAGATTCTTTAGAATTTCACTGTTGCTATTGCTCGCTTTGAAATCGTTGAGTTTGTTAATCAAAAAATCATTAAAGTTTGGCAAAACATGAAACAGATAATAAAACAAATTCCAAATTTGGGCTTCCAGATGCCCATATTCGGGTGGAGACGTACGTTATTCAAAATTAGACGGCTCTAGGTACCGTTGTTTTATCAAAGTCCCAGAAACATACATACTTTTATGCGGATTCTTCGTTATTTAGTTTCTTTAAGTATAATACAGGGCTCTAATATTTGGTGGCAACAATTTGAAAAGTGATTTAGACTTTAAAAGTTTTCGACGCAAAATGCCGAAACGTTTTTTAGCCCAAAGGGCTAAAAAAAAAGTATCTAGATTATTTTTTGTAAAATTAAACCAACTTTGCTATCTCCTGATATACTGCAACTCTCGAAGTGATACTATTCAACGAAAACCACAGAAACTTTGTATAAACGTAAAATACCAATAATTTTTAAAAATAATGAAAAGGAAATACATAAAAAAAGCTTCAGTTCTTATTTCATACTAACAAGGATATACCTCTAATTTTCAAGCACCATGAAACATAAACCCTCCATGTGAAACACATTTTCGTTCTTCGTTACACTAATAAGTGATATATTGTTCAGAGATAAAGATGTCTGTAATGAGAGTAAATATTTTTTCATTTCTCCTCTTCGTTCTTAAGTTATCTGATAACTGACCCATACCTCTGAGGCATAATAATTTTATGCCTCAGCAATAAGATTATCGCAGCAGGTATACGATAGACTATCTGCATAACGGTACTCATTTGTCCGAAACGAAATAAGTGTTGGCGATAAAATCTATCTAAATTATTATCGGTGACGCATGACTGCTATGTTTGCTACACTTACTGCTTGACATAATCTGTATTTGCGTATGAGTCAGAAAGGAATGAGCTATTTATGAATTATTATCTTTAGAAATAATTGTTTCTTTTTTTACTATAAAGAAGTCGATAGTCTTTAAAAATATTGCATAACGGCATTTAACTAATATATTTACAATATTTCGTTTTTAACCTTAAAATAAAACATATTATTATTATAAGACAATATGAACTTATTCTTTTCTCCTTCGGTAGCATATTTTCTGAAAGAAGATTCAAAGAGGGAAAAAAATTAAATTATTCCAATAGTCCATTAAGAATCGCAATTTACTCTCAGCAATAACATAGGCCAATGTTTTCCAAAATGTGGATCTCGAAAAAATTAAAATTGTTTGCTTTGCTATATAAAATTAAGAGCATTTAATCAGTATTATTTTCTAAGGAGTCCCCCAATTCCCCCATGCGGTTATCGTGGTGTAATTCGTTAGATCTGATTAGCAATTGCTTTCTTAGTTCGAATCCCGGAAACAAGGCATTTAATTCTCCGTGTTTACTGGTCCGAAATATTTAATGGTTTCTACGGCGATGTCTGAAATAAAATGTGGTGATAATTCGTCATCATTTGGATTTGTATGACTGGGTCTTGTGCCACTCCCCACTCGTCTTTATTAAGAGAGGGAGAATGTACGGAATTAACGCATTTTTCCGGGCGTGTTCTCGTGGGCATAAACAACTAGAATCGTCCCGCTAGCAACTACAATAGAAAATCCGTGGTTCGAGTGCCGGTGAAGGCATAGTTGATTTTGCATGTTTCCTGAATCAGAATGTCTAACGATCTCTACAATTTCACTAATACATAAATTCTCTCAACATTTTCTGATCACTGTCTCATTTTTTTACAGACAACTAGATGTAAATTCGTTGCTGTAATTTGCAGTTAGCTATACACAAATGGGACGCAAAGCTAAAAGTTTAGGATGTACTGACGTGGATTATTTTAACGAAAGAATAAAGTCATTGTTATCATAAGATACGATATTTATGTTTAATCATTCAGCGAACGGTCACAGCTAGAGCGATGGGGTACACTTGTAGCTGACATACTTTGTAGTAGCTTACATACTGTTACGAAATGTCAAGGCACGGTGAGATGGCTTCCCCGCAAAGCAGTTTTAGGGTTGCCATAAAATGGCAAGAGATGGCAGGGTTACCATATTTTGCGAGAAATCGCCCATTTGGCGACAAAATTGGTGATATGTCATGGACTGATCGAGAACCTTCTGGAACGAATTCTTACCGGTTTAGCCCAGAATGTTCTCAAACGCAAGCCGAAAGCTATATAACCCTGCTGGTCCGTAGTCATCAAGTAGTATCGAGTGTGTGTCTCTCAATCGAGTAAATGTCTGCCTCGTCTAGCGAACTGATAGTCAGTCATTGAGCTAGTGTCTCGAAGTCTAAGCGCCGAGTTGGTCGTCGAGTGCATCGAGAGTCTTTTAGTGCATCGTCGAGTTTTGTCTTAGACTGTGCTGAGTCGAGAGCTATACTCTTGTGTATCGTCGAGTGCATCACGTGGAGAGTCTCGAGAGTACGTGGAGTTCCGGAGAACAATCAAGCAGAGTTGGGAGCTGTACTCGGGTGCTTTGGAATGAAGCTGTTTCCACTGTTATTGCCTGACAGTGTGAAGGCTGTGTAGCTGAACGTGTCAGCGTGTTTATAAAAGTTTGACGACTGTAAACGAGATTTTGGAGCTGTCCTGATTAATACCGGCTAATAAAGTGTGTTTCGATACTCCATCAAGTGTCGTCGTTATTCACTCCAAATCCATACAAACCCTCTACGAACGTGAAGGAAGAAAATAACATAACAACTGGTGTCAGAAAAAAGAAAAACGCAACATACTTTAAACACCAGATGGTGGCGATACATTTTGTGCAGTTTTAACCCAAGTTAGATCCAAGGCACTCATTGGGATGGAATCCTCAAATCTCATATAGCTTAAATGGACGTAAATAGACGGATTTAAAATTTCCTTTTTCCGAACAAATACTGCAATCACTTTACTTTCATATTTTACCCAGAATTCGAGCCCTCCCCATACCAACTGGGGTGGATATTACGATATAAAACTTGTTTGTAACGCTGCATAAACTACTGTTCTGTACCGAGGTACGTAACATAGGGAATCTTTCATTCGTAAGAAATATCTTTTATTAATATTACAATAATGGAGCAAAGGTTCATATTTTTTTTTTTTTTAGTTGGTTATGCTGTAAATTACACCAGAAAGGCGGTATTTTTTCTCCTTCACCAATGACACAATGGCTAAGCTCGCTGAATACTGATACTTCGCGAATACAGGCGATGGGTTAGCTACATCGTTGGTTTTCATAAATTGCCTCATGTACAACATAAATGCAAGGTCATTTCCTTCAGAAATCCCTCCTTGAAGGTATTCCTCCACTTAGGCTGATAGTTCTTGTGCACTATTCAGGTACATTAATTTAATCTAATCTTGATTTGTTATTACAAAATAAAATATAAATTATGAAGAAATACAGTTTGCTTAGTAACAAACTATACTTCTTCAGAAAAACCGTTGTAAAGTGAATTCTTAAAGATTTGAATGGTAACACTGATAGATTAAATTTGGCAAGGCGAAGATAAATTAAAGATATATTTCGTGTAATGGCAACATTTGCGGACAGCTTGGATAACAAACACACTGGTTAGAGTAAGATTCTGCAATGCCCAACGAACTGCAAAATTACAAGCGTTTCTAACGTCAAGCAAACGGACCAGAACATCACAGCTACATCCGAAGACATAACAATAAGCCAGCTCACTGAGATTTCTGCCGATACGGAGCACCAGATTTCGACTATGAAGACGGTGGATAATTTGATTACGACAAAGCACTCTAGGGCTATTTGCCTATCGAGAGGGATGCTTTCGTGGAGGATCCTTCCAAGGCAAACTAGTTCGTATTCGCGCTATTACAAGGAGAAAAAGTTTCTGCAACCAGCCTGTCTAGCAAGGAGTAAGAGGCCCAATTATTTGGTGCAACATACGAAGATATCGCTCAAGTTATAGACACAAACCACAATTTGGAGCAACTGACAAGTGAAATACACTATAATTCTTCTACAATATATTGTTTCATATCTATTTTTAGACAGAAAAGGGCGAAATTTTTCGCATCACGTAAACTTATGGAAAACGGTAAGCTTAGTTTCAAGTTTACGTTAATTTCTTTAATTTCACAACGGCGAATGATTGTTCCACTAGAAACTGCAAATTAAGGAAACTAATTAAAACTGAGTCCTTTTGGCATTTAATATAATAAAGACAAATATCTAATACCTTTATATATAGAAATAGACAAATACCTTCAATTTAAAATTTTCTATCACGGATACACAAGTTCAAGAAACTTTTATCCGAAAGAAGGAATGTTTAGCTTTAATAACAATAATTTTGGCAGATTTGGTGGCTAATATAATGCTTCGATGCAAAAAACGTATAGCACAACTTATTATTAAGAGAAATTGGATCAAAAAGAATATCCTTGAATCAGAAAACTACATTCCACTTTTAAGAGTAATAAAATACGAATACCTCAACGTAAACATGTGAAATTTTATTACCTTACAACTGATGATAAACTGTTACGAGGGGAAAGTGAAATTTTAGAACCAAATAAAGTAAAAACATGTATAAAAATAGAAGCAGAAGGGAAAATATTTCATTCGCTCTTTAATTTAAAGTGTTATCAAGCTTT